TTACTGCTTTAAGTGATTTTACTGCTTAATATTGAATTGCTTTGTGCCTTTAAGTGCTTTCATACTTTCAGCCATTATTTATAATTATTACTCACTGGGTTGGAGTACTCACATTACTCCCTGCACTGTGTGTGCAAATTCAGGCATCGCAGAGTCCGCTCCTAAGTGCTGATCCTCCCAGTCCAGGCAGTGATTTGGAGACTACGAGGTACCTGTTGGCGTCCGCAGCCCCCGTGCCTCCCTTATCTTATCATTTCCATGTTCTTAGAACCATTGTATCAGATCTAGTGTTCAGTAGACTGGTATCAGACTTATTAGTGCTCATGACTTGTGACACCCTGGTTCGGGTTGTGTCGGGATGGTTTCTCCTATTATTATCATTATTTCCGCAAATTATGACTAATATATCATGTTAACAACTGTTTGTGGTATTTAACTGTTTAAAAGAGGTGTTCTGTTTGGTCTGGCTGGCCTTGTCTTCATGAGAGGCACCATCACGACCGGGTTTGGGAAATTTGGGTCGTGACAGATCCCAACAGGTGGGGTCAGGGGAGAGTAGTCTGTACGCAGACCTTGCCCCTACCTAATGCAGGTAGAGAGGTTGTTTCCAATAGACTCTCGGCTCAGGAAGGGTAAGAAGAAGAAGAGGAAGCAAGGAAGGAAGAAAGAAGGAAGAGAAAAGAAAAAGGGAGAGATAAAGGATAAGTAGTACCAAATAATAACAACAGGAAATGCAATACATGAGGCAAACAAAATCACATGAATAAAAATCTAAAAACTACCCACTAACCTTCTAGCTTAATCCGCGACCTCCACACCCTCCTATCAAGGGTCATGTCCTTAATGAGCTGAAGCAGCGCCATGTCCTGTCTAATCACCTCTCCCCAGTACTTCTTATGCCTACCTCGACCTCTTCTCAAACTCTCCATATCCAACCTCTCACACCTCTTGACAGGAGCATCAATGCTTCTTCTCTTAACATGTCCGAACCATCTCAATCTCGACTCCCACATCTTGTCCTCCACGGGGGCTACTCCCACTCTGTCCCGGATAGCTTCATTCTTAATCCTATCTCTCCTGGTACACCCACACATCCATCTCAACATCCTCATCTATGCTACTTTCATCTTCTGTACCTGGGAGTTCTTGACTGGCCAACACTCACCCCATACAGCATAGCCGGTCGAACCACCACTCTATAAAACTTACCCTTAAATCTTGGCGGCACATTCTTATCACATAAAACACCGGAAGCGAGCCTCCATTTCATCCATCCCGCTCTGACGCGATGTGTGACATCTTCGTCAATTTCCCCATTGCCTTGGATAATAGACCCGAGATACTTAAAACTCGCTCTCTTGGGAATATCTTGAGCATCAAGCTTTACCTCTACGTCTGCTTCATGGGTCCCGTCACTGAATTTGCACTCCAAGTATTCTGTCTTGGTTCTACTCAGTTTGAAACCTTTATACTCCAAGGTCTGTCTCCAAACCTCCAACCTCGCGTTAACTCCACTTCGCATCTCGTCAATCACCACTATATCATCGGCAATAGCATGCACCAAGGCACCTCCCCTTGGATGTGTCGCGACAGTACATCCATCGCCAAGGCAAATAAAAATGGGCTAAGAGCCGATCCCTGGTGCAACCCCATCACCACAGGGAAATACTCCGCGTCACCACCCACAGTCCTCACCCGAGTCTTAGCATCATCATACATATCCTTAATCACCCTAATGTACGCTACCGGAACGCTGCTAACCACAAAACCTCTACAAGACCTCCATCGGGACTTTATCGTACGCTTTCTCAAGGTCAATAAACACCATATACAAGTCCTTCTTCCTCTCCCTATACTGTTCCACTAATGTCCTTACCAGATGAATCGCTTCCGTAGTCGAACACCCCGGCATGAATCCAAATTGATTCTCGGAAATAGACACGCACCTCCTCACCCTAGCCTCCACCACCCTCTCCCAAACCTTCATAGTTTGACTCAACAGCTTGATACCCCTATAATTGTTGCAAATTTGGATATTATCCTTGTTCTTGTAAAGCGGAACCATCGTACTCCACCTTCTTCGGGCATCTTCTTCGTCTTAGAAATAACATTAAGCAGCCCAGTGAGCCACTCCAAAACCTGCTCGCCCAGCGCTCTTCCAGAATTCCACCGAGATTTCGTCTGGCCCCGTCGCTCTGCCCTTGCACATCTTACGCATCACCTCTTCCACCTCCCTTACCGTAATCCGCCTACAGTACCCAAAGTCCGCCGACTCTCGGAGTGCTCCAACTCACCTAGCACAATGCGTCTATCCCCCTCCTCGTTCAACAACTTATGGAAGTATGTTGCCTCGTCCATCAATACTTTGCCATCCTTGTCCTTGATGCACTTGACTTGGTCTAAGTCGCGGGCTTTCCTCTTTCTCTCCTTGGCCAACCGGTACAACTTCTTGTCCCCGCCTTTGCCCCCGAGCTCCTTGTACAAACGAGCAAACGCCGCATTCTTAGCCGTCGTAACTGTTAACTTCGCCTTTTTCTTTGCCTTTCTGTAACACTTCTGATAAATCCTTTTTTCCTCCTCGTTTGTACTCTCCACTAGCTTCAGAAAAAAAAATACTTACTTTCTGTATGTTCTACTTTTGTTTTGAAAATATCCTTTCATACACGACTAGCAACGTAACTAGATTAAGGTAGCCTTTTGGATTCTTGCCCATTGTAACCAAACAAGAAAATTAAGGAATAGCTAGAGATTGTGTTCCTGTGGTCTCTTCGGGTTTTGATCTAATGGTATAAGAGTACAACATGTGAATCTGTAGGTAATCTAACACGTAACATATATATTCAAATCATGTTGTAGACAAGAGTCTTGTGTTTAACTATTTAAAATTATTTAGTAAAGTCATATTTCCTTTATTTGTAACAGAAAGTCATTTAGCTATTTTTAATACTTAAAAGGTCACTCAACTAGATTTTNTTTTACTCTATATTTTAGATTTACCAATAGAATAGTTAGATCTTACTTATAAAGTTAAAAAAGAAAAAAAATCAAGCATATATAAAGTTGGAACAAAATAATTAAAAAATTTATTAAGCATTATAAAATATATTATAAATATACCTCTATTCTAAATAACTATTTTTATATTACATGCATAAAATATATCCTTTAAAAGCTTTTATTTTATTTCACTTTCAATTGTATAAATAATTTTTTAGAGTTTTGTTGTTGTTATCAAAATTATTGATACGAATAGATTATTCTATTTTAATTTTTATTGAGCTCAATTATTTTATTCATTAATTTTAGGTGTAAAACTCTCATTCTATAACTCAACATAATTTTTAATAAAATATTTATGTTATCTAAAAAATTACTCATCGAAACAAAATATACATACGACACGCGTATATTAAAACTAGTTAAATAATAGTTTAAATAGATGGGGGGTGGGGGGGGGGGGGTTGAGATAGCTTCAATAACATTTGAAAGATTGAACTAAAATTTTCCATAAAATCAGCAACCCAATTATCCTACAAATTGTAGTTTGAGACTGCAAACTATGTTTATATTTTTTTATTTTCTCCTAGTAGTATATTTGAGCAATTCAGATGGCTATTTATTTTTATGGCTAATATGATTGAGTTGCACTGTAAATGCTTTATTTGATGGCTCTTCAATGCTTTAAGAGGTTAAATATAGGCTGACAAAAAGGCGTTAAGAGTTACTACTAGGCTTGGATCAGAGTGATGTGCAAGTATAGGCTCTATTAAATGGTAGTGTTGATTGGTACTCCCTCCTGTCGAAAATAAAGTGATTTTTTGGTTGTTTTCACACATATTAAGAAACTAATCTTTTAACATTAATTAACAATAAAATTGACCATATTAACCTTTACTAGCTCTTCACATAAATATATAGTCCTAACACATACTTCAACATTATTTACTCCAAGGGCAATGTAGGAAAAAAATAATTAATTCAATCTTGAAATCTGAAAAAATCACTTATTTTGGATCACAAAATAAAGATCAAAAAACCACTTATTATGGACCGGAGGGAGTAATGATTAATTTTGCATGGATGGGGGAGACGGCCAGCAACGCTGTTTTCACTTTCCAAGGATTACTTTCCAGAAATAGAAAGTTTACCACCTTGCAAAAATGTGTTAAATAATTATATATAATGTAAATTTACAATGAACTAATAACGATACTTGTACATCTCATTATGTCAAAAACATAATACAGGATAAATAATCTTGAAATAGAAGTGTACATAAACTCAGGGGCGGAATTCGGCTGCGCCCAATAACTTTGATCCAAACTCTATATTTATCTTATAAAATTATTAAATTATACATAAACTATTAATTTAGAACCCAATAATTTAAAAGAATTAGAATATTAATCCCATAAATTTCAAATTCTGGCCCCGTCTCTGGATATACTGATTTCCAAATGAACTAAATATATCTCATATGGTAAAAATTATCACCGTAGGTTTGACCGTTTGAGTGATTTATAGCCTATTTGGCCAAGCTTTTTTTTTTGGGCTAAAAGTGCTTTTTTTTTTCTTTTAAAAATTGAGGTGTTTGGCCAAGCTTTTAGAAGGAAAAAAAAAAAGTAATTTTGGGGAGAAGCAGAAGCAATTTTTGAGAAGCAAAAAAAGTAGCTTTTCTCCAAAAGCACTTTTTTGAGAAGCACTTTTCAGTAAACTACACTTATAGAAACATTTGTTAAAGCTTGGTAAAAAACTAATTACTGCTCAAAAGTACTTTTCAAATTAATTACTTTTGAGAAAAGCACTTCTCAAAATAATTAAGCTGATTTTAAATTGTGAATCATACTTTGTGACATGGCTATTTTAATTATACATATTTTTGTATTGCAGAAAATTCCTGTAGGTTTCTTGAAGTATGTGAAGGGACATGAGAATGTGCATGCAATACTGAGAAGGGGTGGGGTGGTAAGAAGTGGCTGGTGAAGGTGAACGACCGTCGAATGGAAGATGGTTGGACAGAGTTTGCAGAAGAGCATGATTTGCAATTGGGAGATATGTTGGTGTTTAGACATGAAGGTAATATGGAGTTTAATGTTTCCATATTTGGTTCAAGTTGTTGTGAGAGAGAATATGCGGCGTATATGCAAGAAGACGAGGATGAAGAGGAGGAGACTCCCAAGAAATTTGATTTGGAAGGTGAAGTTCTTTGGGGCTCATTTGTGATACATTCCTCAACTTTCTTTTTATCTTTCTGTTATCTATTATGGAAAATGTTTTCTTGATTAATTATGCAAAGTGTAATGAAAATTTTGCTATACATAAACCTAATGATGCTTATGTTTTTTGGCGTTATTTTCTTAAGTGATATTGTGTATAATTAACAAATGCAACAGAAAAAACAAAGGCTAACATCAGGACATCAGACAAGGCTTTCCCCAATGCAGAAGCTGCTAATAAGGACATGCATCTCAGTCACTCTCATCTCATTTGTACTATCAAACCTTATTGCCTTACAAAGTATTTTCTGGTAAGTTCGTGACTACATTAATACTATGATTGTTACACAGAAGAAAACAAAGAAACAAGGAAAAGAAATGAATTCTTTTCCTGTATGTATAAGCTTATGAGAACAATTATCTCTTTGACAATTTGGAGGTGTAAAACATAAATCCATACATATTGACTGGTTATTTGCAACCGATTAATTATAAACTGTTTCAGGCTATTCCAAGACAATTCGCTCTGAAAAACAGACTCAACAACAGGAAATGTATGATAATTATAAGGGACGAGCGAAGGTCATGGACATGTAGTCTGTATACAAGCGGCGAAAATACCTACATTGGACGTGGATGGCATGAATTCTGCACTGACAAGTGCTTAAAGGAAGGAGATCGCGTAATGTTTGAGATAGTTTCCAGTGGATCAGAAACACCTGTATTTGAATTTCAAGGCAAGTTTCTCTTTTAATCCCTTGTCTTAAATTTCATCCTGTTTTCTACTGTTTAATTATTTACATGATGCGACACTAGTTGAATATCTAGACTAATTAACTACATGTTTAGATGAAATGAATTCATAGTTTAGTTTTAATATGAATATATGTTGGAAGAACTCTTGATCCAAAATATATAAATAGAAGTAAAGATATATGTTCATATATCTAGAAAAGATACTCCTTGTCATCAGAATGAACAATAACAGATATTTTCAGCTTCAACTTAATGTTCTATTTTTGGTTTTAAATTCATTTTTCAGTTTCAGTTATGACATTGTTGTTTCAATTAAAAAACTAGATTTGAGAGGAAGTCCATCCCTCCATCCTGAAGTAAAGAAGAAAAATTTGGATGTTAACAGAATTAAGACCACAGACGCGACTTCTCCAAAAGTACAAGTACCTGCTTCAACATCTGCTGCTGATACTAACCCTCATTTTATATCTACTATCAAACCTTACACCATCAAAAATCCTATTTTGGTAAGTGATTTGAACAACTTTTAATAAAAACGAACCTTAGCTAATGGAATAGTAGTTTTTTTCATGTGATAACGCGGCATTGATCTCTATAATGGGATAAAATTTGAGCAGTATCTTCCATTGGCTTTTGCGAAATCAAATGGCTTGATGAATAGACACTGTGAGATGATTCTTGTCAATGAAAAACGGAGATCATGGTCAGTGCAGCTAGGGCAAATGGGACATCACTTTGAAATTAAAAGGGGATGGCCAGAGTTCGTACAAGGAAATGGTGTTCAAGTAGGAGATACTTATAAGTTTGAACTCATCAACAATGGCACAATACCTATAGCGCATTTCCATTGTGAGTATATATTGTTGTTGTTTTTCCTCTTTGTCCATTTTGTTATTAGAATAAGGATCTTTATATAAATAACCCACTATATTCATTATTTGCTTTTTCTAGCCATATACATAGATTATATATCATTATACACAACTATACATATATAATACATAAATTATGCATATATGGATGTGCGGCTATTTGAGTTAATTCTTAATTAGAATACAGGAGTTGTTATGGAACCAATTTTTTTTTTTTTTTTTTTTTACTGAGATTATAAAATGTTAGTATGTTAACTTTTGAAGATATACACAAAATCTTAAATGTTTCAAATAGTGTCGATTGTACTTTGGTATTTTAAAGATACATATAATATTTTGATATTTTATTGTGTGTCAAATTTCCTAACAATTGCTTTATGATGAAATTTTCCATATAAAAGATCTACCAGCTTAGACTTCTATGATCCTAGCTATAATGGTTTTATACAATCAACTCTTTGAAATTTCAAATAATAACTAAAGGCAATATTTTGTTTTTAAAAATTGTAGGTAAATATTCTGGTAAGGATGCCAAGAATCACACCCTCAGAAGCCATTGACAAGATACAGAAGCTGTTGGTGATGGGCAAGGAAAGAGGCACTGAAGCAAGTGAATATAATGTTTTTGGATTTTGTACATGTTGCTAAATCTTGAAAAAAACTACTACTTTCTGTATGATGGGTTCTACTCTTTTGTTTTGAAAATATCGTTTCACACACGAGTAACAATTAGATTAAGGTTGCCTTTTGGATTCTTGCCCGTTGTAATCAAACAAGAAAATTAATTTTAAATTGAGTTCTTGTGGTCTCTTCGGGCTTTGGTCTAGTGGTAACTGGTAAGAATGTAACATGTAAATATGTAGGTAATCGAGAGGAGAAGGATAAAAGGGTAGATTTAGAATCCATTACACAATTTGATCACTTAACTTTTTAAAATTATCTAGCACATTTTTTTTTTTTAAAAAACAGAAAGTCATTTAACTATTTCTATGATACTCAAAGGGCTACTCAATTAGGTTTTTCAATTTTTCGGTAGCTAAATGCATATTTTATCCTCTGAATTATCAATATTTATCTCTTTTCAATACTTTTTAATACTCTATTATGATTCTTTTCTCTTTTTACTCTATATTATGAATTTACCTATAGAATTTTTTTGAAACTAATACTGACTTGAAATATCATTAAATATCCATAGGAAGTTTAATTATCCAGAGTAAGGTGGAAACAGAGACCTTGCAGAACAGATATTTCGAAAAAGTTATTAAGCATTTATAATATATACTAGTTTCTGGTCATGTGTGTTGTGCATGTACTCTGTATTAGTAAATATAAAATTTTAAAAATGACAGATGTTAGTTATAAAACAATTAAATATAAGTTCCTGAAGATAATAAGTTGTTCATCCTAAGTTAAGAAAGGAAGAAATCTTGCCTTAATGTGTTTTGGATATTCCGATCCAAATTGTAATTTAACTATATGATTTTGTATGTATTTGTGTAGAAGTTTGAACCAATAGGCAAAATATGGGGGGATTTCGATTTATACCCGCTTTTTGGGTCACATTTTAATTTATACCCGCTTTGTAAAAAAAATTGTAAGCGTACCCACTTTTCGCGTAACTTCAGGCATACGGGCCTGAAGTAGCAAAGGTAATCACGCAAACTTCAGCATTCTAGTAGACGGACCTGAAGTAGCAAATTGCTGAACCAAGTGTTGGCTGAAGTTTTTGTTTATAATTGTTGAACTTAAGCATTCTAGTAGCTGAAGTTTTGTTCTCCATTTGCTGAAGTTTTTGTTTGTAATTGCTGAACTTAAGCATTCTAGTAGCTGAAGTTTTATTCTCTATTTGCTGAAGTTTTTGTTTGTAATTGCTGAATTTAAGCATTCTAGTAGCTGAAGTTTTGTTCTCTATTTGCTTAACTTCAGCATGTTTTAACTGAAGTTTTGTTCTATATTTGCTGAGCTTCAGCACGTTTTAGCTGCACAACCCATGCTCTCAAGGTATGTCAACAATCTTACCATAAGTTGAATATGAGGACAAAATCGTGAAGTACTCTGAAAACTCAGCACATGTTTGTGAGGATTTCCCCATAAAACCATCAGATATGAATGGACTTCATATGATTTCAAGTAATATAATCTAATATATAGTTAAAACCCACATTTAAATTCTAATCTAAAGTTATATATAAACTTCCAAATTTGGACTGCAACTAAATCATCAAGCTCAGGTGAAGAGTGCAACATATGAACTGAAGTTTCATAGCAACACCAACAGCAACAGAAGAAAGAAGAAGAAGAAGAAGAAGAAGAAGAAGAAGAAGAAGAAGAAGAAGAAGAAGGAGGAGGAGAAAGAGGGCTGGAGTTGTTTAAAAAGTGTGTACAAATTAAAAAATTTTACAAAAATGAATATAGGTTAAATGGGGGCGACCAAATAAGGCGCCCTGTTGCAATTTTTACCAAAATATGTTAGCTTATACGTAATCCTAAAATTAGTATCTATTAAGATCAATGGCCGAATTCAAATCAGTGGAAGTTTAAAATTAAAATGAAACATATTGTCAAAGTGCTTCATGCTGTTTCCCCAAAAGAAAAGAAAAAGTAAAGGGAATTTTATCAACTAAATAACAATATTTTAACGGGGGCAAATCTTTCCGAAAGATGTTAGTACTAACTAATAAGCGTACAAGCAACATCATCAAGAGCTTACAAAAATATAGCAAGTTATGGGACGATTACCTTTTGGAATTTTAGTGTTTGACGGTAAGTATTCTAATTAAAAATTTTAAAAATTACTGATAGATTCATGTTACATATAATTCTGGAAAGAATATTTTTTCGAAGTATTCTGTACTGGACGCACTTGCAAAGAAGCAAAATTTGGTCAAAATTTTACCCTTGAAAAACTTAATATATCTGAAATCGCCAGATTAAATCAACAATATTGCAAAAGATTTGAGTTGTAATTGATCACGGCCAACTCTAGTCCTAAAAAGGATAATCTGTCGCTGCAAATATAATCCGATCTAAAAGTCCGGAGTTGAATCCCACGGAGAATTAAGGTTTAGCCACAATTGTTGACTATCACTAAGAATACAAGTTTGAATAAATTCTGAAATTATAAAGATTGAGATTTTGTTAACTAATTAAAGTAGTAAATTATAACCTAGAGATACTAAGGTTTGGAGAAAAGATTAAGGAGAGGTCTAGAGTTACGATTTTCCCTATCGTCGGAATCTCCCCCGCTACATTTCCAATAAATTCGCCTAAGTATTCTCTATCGATCGTGAGCACTTTGGGTGTCGTAGCTCTCTCTCGAGCAACTACCACAATTTACTAGACATATTCTCTCGAACTACGCTAGGTGGCATTAATTCACCGCTCACTACGATCGCACTAAGGTTTTGTTATCTCTAATCCCGCCATTAAATCTGGTCACGCCCAGCTATACCTTATAAAAAGGACTAAGTGGTCATTGCAAATATAATCTGGTTTGCAAGTCCGGAGTCGAATCCCACAGGGAATTAACCTATTAAACACAGCTACTAGACTCGCACAAATTCAGGAAATCAATCTTCAGAAATATTTAAGTAACAAATTTGATGTTTATTAACTAAGTATCACGTAACGAAAATGCAATAATTAATAATCAACAACGAATGGGTTGTAGACAAGAATTCGAATGATCTAAGGTTATGATTTCCCCTATTGCCAGAATCCTTTCCGCTACGTTTTCTATAAATTTTGCCTAAGTCTTCTCTACCGATCATGAGAGCTCTAAGTGTTGCAATTCTCTCCCGAGTAACTACCACAATTTACTAGACATATTCTTCCAAATTACGCTAGCTGGTATTAATTACGGCTCACTCGGGTCGCACCAAAGTTTCGTTATCCCTAATCCCACCTTTAAACCCTCCGTATTGATCCCTCATATACGTTAGGAGTGATGTTGTTCAACAACTACCTAAATATGCACTCTCTCCCGAGTAATACACACTAAATAGTCACAGTCGATTGAGGGCTCTTCAACCAGCCATAATAATAACGTAGTTGAACAAATAGAGAAAATACTACGGCAAATCTATATTAACGTAACAGGAAAATCATCCTCCAATAGGTTCCATCAAAACCCTAGATTAGGAGTTTAGCTACTCATACTCATAGTAACAATATCCAAAATATTTTGCATAATTAAATTATAAAGTAAGGATAAAGGGATGTAGAAATCGGTGATTCTAACTCCCAACAGTTGTTCCACGGGCTATTCTTACCTCTGGTTGCAAAACTCCTTCAAAATGGCATTTTATGTCTATTTATATGTGTAGGAAAAGACCTAAACAACATAGGCCATGTCCTAGTCCACCCAGGAGACGAAATAAGCCTTCAAAGTTCGGAGTGTGCGCGCCTCAGACCTCGTCTCGCGAGGCTTCACGCGAGCTGGACCTCGCCCCAGACCTGGCGTCGCCAGCCTTAACGCCAGGTGGACCTCGCCTCCTCCCTCGCCTAGCCTGCTCCCACGCGAGCTAGAAGGCTCGCCCAGCCAGCTCTATCACGAGCTCTTGAGCTTGCTTCGCCAGCTTCCTCATTTAGCTGCTCACTTCTTTCTTTCTTATTTTCAACTGTTTTCGAGCACGCTTTAGACTTTAATTATTCCTTTTGCTCTACTTTCATCTCCAATTCACCTACACATAAAATAGACTCCATTACGCGCAAATAAAGTGTAGTTTATCATTAAAGCATATAAAATGCAAGGCAAATATTGTGCTAAAATATGGAATTATAGCCACACATCTCCTCGGAGGTGGCCTTAGCCTTAGATGGAAAAGTGGAGGTGGCCTTTCCTGTCACGACCCAAATTCCATCATAGGTCGTGATGGCGCCCGACACCGTTGCCAGGCAAGCCAACCCTAATTTAACTAATGGGTTCTCATTAATTTACCAAAACAACCCCAATATTTTTTTCTTTATAGTTAAGTTTTTAAACAGTTAATAATTAACAAGCTCGTAATAATATAGTTACATCCCAAAATAATAGTCTACAGTTTGTGCCAGGAACTAGTATCACAAGTACTAGGGCAATTAGTAGAATGTACAAAAAGAATACCACTATCCTACTGCCTGAAACAGAATAGACAGTACATAATAACAACAAAATAAGAGAAACTCCGGTATGCTGCTGAACGGCTCAGAAGAGGCAGCTCACCGTGAGATCTCGACCAGGAATCAGGAACGCGCGCCGGAGGGTAACTAGATGCACCTGCCTCAGATCCTATACAGTTAAGTAAAGAAGCATAGTATGAGTACAGAAACAACATGTACCCAGAAAGTATCCAGTCTAACCTCGAAGAGGTAGTGACGAGGGGTCGACTTGACACTTACTAAGGTCAATATCAATAATATATAAGGTTTACACTAAGCATGGATGGCATGGATATAATGATATTCTCAGAACAAGGAGAAACAATATATATATATCGGATTCAGTCATGTCTTATAATAACTTACATTTCATGGCATTTAAACAGAGTAAATCATGGATGAATTCCACATAAATAACATGCGCACATTATGCCGAGGTCGTACGGCCCGGTCCAACATAATAATAACTGTGCACCGCCAGAGAGTCGAATGGCGCGAACCATAGA